GTCCTCCTCCTCCTCCTCCTCCTCCTCCTCCTCCTCCTCCTCCTCCTCCTCTTCCTCCGGTGGCACGAAGAAGCCCCCGAGGCCGCAAGGAGGCGACAGAGACGTCTCCAGAGGCGCCCAAGGAGCCCCGCAGAGAGCTTTCGCGACGACCTCCAGGAGCTCGCCTCGGAGGAGCCTTCGCGAACAAGTCTGAGAAAGACGCAGAAGGGTTCGTGGGGCACCTTGGGCGCGAACGAGGGAGAGGAAGAGGAATGTGAAGAGCAAGCTTGAGGGAAGGAGAAGAAACAACAGTATGATACCAGTGATGGCGAACACTACAACCAAGAGCGTTCGCGGCTTTGATTGATCTACGTGTCCCTCATTTGTCCTGTATATTGGACGCGAAGGGCTAAGAATGCATGGCGCGAAACGCCGATGCAGTCTCATGTGTATGTCTACATGAGTGTGTATATAGATGTTATACGTGCATGCATGCATGCAAACGTACATACCTACCTACATACACACACGCATACATCTGTGTATATATATATATATACACGCATGGTTGGTTTGCTTCTTGCCATTCTTCTTCTAGCCTCGCCCGCGGCAGCGGCCGCGGCGCCCGCGCCGCCGCGGCAGCCGCCGTGGAGCAGCGCGAAGTACGCGTCGCGCAGGGGCGAGAAGCCGAAGGCGTTGCCGCCCGCGTCGGCGCTCTGGGCCTCTAGGCCGCTGCGAGCGAGCCTGCGGCGCGGGCTGGAGCTGCGTGCGAGGTGGCCCTCGGGCGCGCGGCCGACCTTTACGAAACCACTGCTGGGAGATCTTCGCAAGAACGGTGAGAGGCAATGAAGCCGGACGAAGGAAGCATGGAGCCAGACTGGCCCAGAATGAACCGGACTACTCCCGGGATTCAGGCGGGGATGGAGCCGGATTCAGCGATATTGCGAGATTGTGTCAGACTACGGTGAATCCGGCCGTTGTTCGACCGGTGTTTATATACGGGGCCGAAAGGTCTACACCACCACCACCTCCTGAGCGAGCAACGACATGTGTACATGTACGCCCTCCGCGGTCTTGCGTGCACGAACCTCCACGTTCAAACGCAATTCGGCGAAAACGAACCGCGTACATGTACATATGTTGTTGCCCTCTGACCTCCCTCACCCACTCCCCTCCCAGGAAGGAGGATAACACGAGGGCCGAGGGAGGGAGGGGGAATGGAGGCGGCGGGGGTGCACATGCTCGGGACCCGCAGACCTACCGTCAGGTCGGGCATGTCCCCCTCTGCAGGCGGATTTTGAGCGAAAAACGAAACATAGACAAAAAAGACACCACAATGATTAACCATACTCGAGCAATCGGCCCTAGACTGTTTTTGTTGGACTATTCTTGAGTACTCCTCCTGTAAAGGGACAGGCCCACCTTCAATCTACCAGCGCCGATGCTGCGCTCTGAGTATCGTTTAACCGATCCCCATCCCCAGCACCGTGGCCTGGGCCCCACTGGCCGCTTTGCCTCCCTCGATGGGAATATAGGTCGTCCCCTTCGGGTGTCGAGGGGTGTATCCCCAATCGGCGGTGGACAAACCTCCTTTTAGCAAACCACCCTTTAGTGAAAACGGCCCGGGACCGAAACCGACGGACCTGGACCCGCAAAAATGACGGCCGCGACGCCCCCTCGCGAACCGAAAACGGCCAATTCGCTAACCGACGTGTCAGGGTGGGAGGTCTGTCCACCCCCGACCCAACTGGGGTGGGGGTCTAGAAGGGGAGGGGGATGGTCGGGGGCGAGCATTACACGTATTCGCCCGGGAGCCTCGCCGAAGACATGGGTCATCGGCGCCCCTGGATGCAAGTATTGCTCCCCCTGGACTATTCGTCCCTATCGTCGCCTCCGAGATGGGGATGGTGATCGGTTAAACGATACCAGCGCTCGGGAGTGGCATCCTCACCCTGCCGAGCGGGGAGGGGGAGGAGGAGGAGGAGGAGGAGGAGGAGGAGGAGGAGGAGGAGGAGGAGGAGAAGGGGGAGGAGGGGAGGAGGAGGAGGAGAGGAGGAGGAGGGGGAGGAGGAGCGGAGGAGGAGGAGGAGGATGAGGAGGAGGAGGAGGGAGGAGGAGGAGGAGGCGGAGGAGGAGGAGGAGGAGGAGGAGGAGGAGGGTGAGGAGGAGGAGGAGGAGGAGGAGGAGGAGGAGGAGGAGGAGGAGGAGGGAGGAGGAGGGGGGGAGGGGGAGGAGGAGGAGGAGGAGGAGGAGGAGGAGGAGGAGGAGGAGGAAGGAGGAGGAAGGGGGAGGAGGCGGAGGAGGAGGAGGGGGAGGAGAGGAGGGGGAGGAGGAGTAGGGGGAGGAGGAGGAGGAGGAGGGATCGGTTAAAGGATATCGGCATCCTCACCCTGCCGAGCGGGGGAGCGGCATCCTCACCCTGCCGAGCGCTGCCCGCGATGCGGCGCAGCGGCGCCCTGCGCGCCCTCGGGCCTCGGGACCTCCCCCCCCTCCGAGCTCCTCCCGGAGAGGCCGCGCCTCCCGGAGGCCACGCCGAGAGTTAGATCGGGCGTGTCTCCCGACATGGGGAGTTGCGACGCAAAAGAAAAAGTACTCGAAAAATGCTCCCACATTGTCAAAAAATGCTCAAAAATAGTCCCCAGGCTATTTTTTGACTATTTGACTATCTTAAAAGATTCCTCCTGTAGAGGGACAGGCCCGACTTCAGGCTGGCTCGAGGAGGGAATGCTGGGCCCAGTTTCCACCACCACTGCCACAGGTAGGAGAGAGAGGAGGAGGAGGAGGACGAAAAGGGGGAGGAAGAGGAGGAAGAGAAGGAGGAGGAAGAGGAAGAGGAGGAAGAGAAGGAGGAGGAGGAGACGGAGGAGGAGGCGGAGGAGGCGGCCGAGGAGGAGGATAAGGAGGAGGACCTCCTGACCCTCCCTCCCCCCCCCGTCCTGCATCTGGTAGCTGTGGTTGAAAAGGTGCCCATCAGGGAAACGTCGACCTGGAATCGGCGGTACATCGCCGATCTACAGGCGATGGGCCCACGGTGGCGAATCCACACGCTCCTGGGCGGCTCTGAGCTACCCAGGCCCACGACGGCGATCCGTGGGCGAGTGGGGGTCCATGCGCCCCCCCCTCTGAGCCCGTCCTCCCCTGTCGTTGCCCCTGAAGGGGTGCCCGCTCGGAGGCGGCACTCTGCCTCCGTGGCTTCGCGTCGGGAGCCCGTGGCGCCAGAAAGGGCTCGGCGTGCGCGAATTCGAGGGGTCGTCTGACTTTCGATTTCATACCTCGGGCATCTGGCGGCCGTTCGGGGCGACCCGCGGGGCGCTCTCGGCGAGGCGCACCCGCTGGGATGCATCCCGAGACAGGAACACTCCCCAGGAACCAACGAGGTCTACCCAGACATCCGCCGACCTGGTCTTCTCAATACGCCGACCTCAGAGGTGCCAACCGTTCCCCGAGGCAGAGAATTCGCCCCAGAACAACGTTTGATGGACCCGGGGCCCGATCACGGTCCCAGGAGGCCGAAACCAGGAGAGCACGCCCCGATTCAACAAGACCATGTCGTCGAAGATCTGGGATCCGCATGCCCCTACAGCGATGCGGGTCACACTCGCGTGCAGCTGGTAGGAGAGCTCAGACTCGAATCGACAAGATGGATCGGCGATCGAAACTCATCGGATCGGCGGTAATCAGCCGCCGGGAGAAATCGAATCGGCAGGAATCGGAAGGAGAATAGACCTCCCACAAGAAACCGGAACCCAAGCCGGAAGGAGGAGGAGAAGGAGGAGCAGGAGGAGGAGGAGGGAGGGAGGGAGGAGGAGGAGGAGGAGAAGGAGAAGGAGGCGGAGGAGGAGGAGGAGGAGGAGGAGGAGGAGGAGGAGGAGGAGGAGGAGGAGGAGGAGGAGGAGGAGGAAGCCATCGAAATCGGATCGAGTCGGAGGCATCGAAAAGAGCCCCGGCGGGAGCCTCCCGAGCACGTCGGCGGAGGGCAGGTGCCGCCCCGACTCGGCGCCCACCACGAGGAGGTCGCAGAAGAAGCCGGGCACGAAGCGGTCCCCCGTGCGGGTCGTGCCTGGCGGGCGGCGAGCGGAGGAGGAGGAGGAGGAGGAGGAGGAGGAGGAGGAGGAGGAGAAGGAGGTGGCAGAAGAGCCCGGGCAGGAAGCGGTCCCCCCGTGCGGGTCTTGCCTTGGAGGCGCGGCGAGCGGCGGCGGCAGGCGGCGATCCGGCGGCAGCTCCAGGCCATCTGGCGTCGTGGCATAAGTCGCTCCTCCTCCTCCTCCTCCTCCTCCTCCTCAACCTCCACCTCCACCTCCACCACCTCCTCCTCCTCCACTTTTCGCAATCTTCGGCTCCAGAGAGGCCCTCACTGGGCCTCGGGGTCAGTGGAGGCCAGTCCACAAGAAACCTTCCACCAAAAACCCAATCCTGATACTCCAGGGCGTCCCTTGATTTCTGGTGTGGGCACGTCGCGCTGCCCATCGCAGAGCCGTCGAAACCCAGGAAACCCAGGGCACCCTGGAGGCAAGCAGGGTGTTTCTTGGCTTTTGTCTCCGCTGTATCTTTGGCTGGGCCGCGGGGCCGTCAAAGAGAGGGGACTCGGGAGGCAGAGCCGATCACCGGGTGAAGGGGTCCAGCGTCTGCCCAAAGCATCCCGGGACCTCAGAAATCAAGGGTTGAAGGGTTGAAGGGTTACCCTGGGGTTGGCTACCTTAGTTACGCTTCCCCCAACCTTAGTTACCCTTCGCCCAACCCTTCCCCCAACCTTAGTTACCCTTCGCCCAACCCTTCCCCCAACCTTAGTTACCCTTCGCCCAACCCTTCCCCCAACCTTAGTTACCTTAGTTACCTTAGTTACCCTAGTTGCCTTACTTGCCTTTGCCTTGGTTTCAAATTCAATGCCCCAGTCAATATCATACAGAAAACTTGCTGTTTGGGAACGGGCGCGGGGCCAAAACGCAAGTTCAGGGCAAGGGTGGTAGCCATCTTCAGGGCTAACCGTCACCCGTTCAACCCTTCATTTTTGCGGTGCAAGG